GCCTGGAGAGGCATCACAATACTCACGTGGCAGGGGCAACACTGGAATCCCTGCCAGCCATCCACTTCTCTGCCCACCAACACAGGGGCACAACAAACATCTCCTGCCCATCCACCTAGGGGCAGTCTTTCATTCCACAACCATCCATCAACAATCAAACAATCAATCATCAAAAGAACTCAACATTGCGCCTGGAGAGGCATCACAATACTCATAGGTCACCCATTTACTCCTTTGCCCACCATCACAAGGGCACCACCTACTAGCAATCCTCGTCTTCATCAGACGTCCTCCCATAACATTTTCATACTTAAATGATGTTGTTGTGCTAAGCTCACGGGGCCTCTTGAGTCCATTACGGGAAGCCTTGAATTCCTCAACTGTAAGGTCAGCAAGGTGATTAACGCCAACCGTGTAAAGTTTGTCACCAACAGCATTGAATGATTCAATGAACTCCACGTTGTCCTTGAATATCAGGAAACGTTTTTCCTTCTCTGCAGCATCCTTGTACACTTTGCCATATTCTGCCATCCATTGCTCGTGTCTTTCTCGCATGGATGTCTCATGCAGCTTGCGGGACATCACATTGGAAATCCCAACTGCAAGGACGAGGAAAAGAGCTAACATATACTGTTTTTGGGAGGAAGCCATTTCGTATCGGCAGTATGGTTTGAGTTTTGGAAGAGAAGCCTTGGTGAGATTGTGTTATAGTGAGAAATGTAGGTTGGTGTGCATTGAAGGGAAAGACTCTGGTGGTTTATATAGGGAACATAGACTTTATGTTATGGAATTATTTATCTGAATATCTTTGCATGGTTGGTTGCTTTCTGATTGAAGATTCGTGGCCCGGCAAATTAATGTATCCGATGTAGTCTTTTAGACGGGTATTTTGTGTTGTTATTAATTATTATTATTATTATTATTTGATGAAGAGAGTAGTTTCTGATCCATCTAAGATGCGTTGCTTTGCTACATGGTGAAAATTCATTAAGCATGACTAGAGTTTCGTCCGCTTTGTTAAAAAACAAAATAACGACCAAACATCATAATAAACATATAAAGGGGCATTATTTTAAATTACAGATGATCCTTTATTTTACTTTTATTCAGTTTTTCCGTGTCAAATATTTTATTTAGGCTTAAATATATTTTTAAATTTAGGATAAATTTATTTTTTGTCCCTCAAATTTAAAATTATTATTTTTAGTATATGTAATTTTAAAAAATCTTATTTTATTCTTTATATTCAAATTTTATTAAGAAATTTATCAAGAACTATTGTCTAAAATTTATCTATTATTGTCTCTATTAATGAAAACATCACGTTAAATCTGGTTGATATTATATAACCTTCTTAATTAGTCACTTTCAAATATATTATTAGTAATTTAAGTAATTAAAATAAAATTATTAAAAATTACAAAGACTAAAAATAATAACTATAAATTTGAGTGACAAAATATATTCAAACCAATACTTTATGTTGACGAAGTTCAGGTATAATGGTTGGCTGCAGAGACAAAGTTCCTAGATATATAGGCATTCTTTGCACCGAATCTGCTAGTTGTAGTAAAAAAATAAAAACAAAAACAAATTGGTTGAAGTTTTAAAGACAGTAAGTATTGAAACCATTTAATTTTTAATAAGTTATCTCAAAATTATGAATAAAAAACAAAAACGAGATTGAATCAATTAGCCCCGTAATTTTTTTTTTTTTTTTTTTTTTTTTGGAAAAGGCATGCAAAAACATCATAGTAAGGATGAAAATTTCAACTAAATTGACATCTCAAACTCTATACACTATTAATCATTTGCAGCACATCAAATATATAGATTAATAGCCACGTAGGTGAGCAAAGCATTTTAGAAGTGTGTACCCAAAAAAAAAGCATTTTAGAAGTGCTATCAAAATCACGTAATGCTCACAAACTTCGTTTTAATTAAACTTTTGCCCTAGTTTTCTCATATTTAGCACAATAACGTGAGAATTACGAGGTAATTTCAAACAAAAATATATTAAAAAATAGTTTTATTGCCATAAGCAATGCAACAACATAGTTTTGTCACAATTTAGTAGATATTTTACGGTAGTAGAGGGTGTCTAGAATTACGAGGTAGAAATTGACTATCTACATGTCACTGCACCTCTGATATGCATTAGAAGCAGAACCACTGTATTGATTATTAAATGCGATAGTGTGACTTCCCTTCATTGGTTTGATACGTTAGAAAACGATGCTATTGAGAGGGTCTATTTCGTTAATTAGGGCCCTCGCAAGTAAAATGTACTGCACAAGCTTCTCAATTGGTTGCAAAGAAAACAAGCTAAATTGTTGACAAGCACAATTGAATAACGAAGGTTCACAAATTCTTTGCAATAAAAAAGTCGTTTAACAGGGCTATTGTTAATCCATGTGCTTCTTCACAAAACTGAAATGACATTGATTCAAAATCTGCCTCCAAATTAAGATACTATCCCACAAAGATTAAAATACTGTTGACAAAACTGATAACACACTCCTAAAGTTAACTGGTCTAACCAACAATTGCCTGAGACTTGTTGAGGATCACTCCCTCATATTTCACCTGGAACCACTTCATAGCATCCTCCTTTGTAACACGGTGCTGAATTCCAACACGGGACTTGCATCTTCGGCGACGTCCCACACGGTATCCAGGACGCTCCAGAACAACAAAGAAATCCATTCCATAAATACCAGTTGAAGGATCATACCTGAAACAGAGTCAAGGGTCAAGGACTATTAATAAGTCTGTGGAATGTAATCTTCATAGTGAAAGAAATTGAAATCATAATGAAATATATGAGGGGAAATTGAATCAAAACAGCTTTAAGCTTCAAGCCTTATAAAACATTCAGTGGTTTGGTATGTTGTACAAATATGATTTCTCAAAACTAAATAACAAATCAAACCAACTAAAGCAAGTCCTGGTTCCTCAGTTTCAAGCCATATAAAACAGCTTTAATATAAGCACCAAAACAGAAAAAAAAGAAACTTCTGCAACTCCCATATTTTTAAGTCAGTTAACATTTGGTTCAAGTCAGAAGTGGAAAGCACCATAAAGGGA